TATTCCTCCCTCGACGACATATGGTCAAAAAACAAAAAAAATCACTCAAATCTTTCTCCATCGAATAAAATCGCTCATAACGAGCACGTTAACATTTTCTAGTGTCTATCTTCTATATCATATTGCAGCTTATGAAATACTCTACGGAATTGCACATAAAGCATCGTTCTAACACAGACAACAAAAAAACAATTAGCATGAATGACCTTGACACACCAGTTTGCTCATATGCTACCGAGTACTTCCAATCTCGACCTTACCCCGACACAACTTCTTAAGACTATCTCATATATCCTTTTGTAGCCCGTGAAGTTCTCTGTCGAATCGTATATGAAGTAGATTGGTCCCAGGAGAAACCGATTGTTGAAAACGTAAATCTAATGCATTTAAGATTTTATTGATAACATTAAAATATTCCTTTCGATACATGTCGTAGATATTTTGATGATCTACCGATGCTTGTAAAGTCGAATAGTCGAGAAGTCGAAAGTTGAATTTCAAAAATCAAATAGTCGAATAGTCGAAAAGTTGAATATCAAAAGTCGGATAGTCGAAAAGTCGAATAATCGAAAAGTCCAATAGTCGAAAGTTGAATTTCAAAAGTCGAATAGTCGGAAAGTCGAAAGCTGAATATCAAAAGTTGAAAAGTCGAAAAGTCGAAAGTTGAGTATCAAAAGACGAATAGTCGAAAAGTCGAAAGTTGAATATTAAAAGTTTAAAAGTCGAATAGTCGAAAGTTGAATATTAAAAGTTTAAAAGTCGAATAGTCGAAAGTCGAATTTCAAAAATCAAATAGTCGAAAAGTCGAATAGTCGAAAAGTCGAATACTCGAAAAGTCGAAAAGTCAAATAGTCGAAAGTCGAATAATCGAAAAGTCCAATAGTCGAAAGTTGAATTTGAGAGGTTGAAAAGTCGAATAATCGAAAAGTTGAAATTCAAAAGTCGAATAGTCGAATAGTCGAAAGTTGAAATTCAAAAGTTGAAAAGTCGAATAGTCGAAAGTTGAATTTCAAAAATTAAATAGTCGAAAAGTCGAATAGTCGAAAAGTCCGATAGTCGAAAGTTGAATTTGAGAAGTTGAAAAGTCGAAAAGTCGAATAATCGAAAAGTTGAACTTCAAATTCTCGTAACGAAAAACTATTATCGAAACCAAAATGAGACACGGATTTACAACACCTTGAGAATACTTTTGGGTGGATCTTACCTCAATATTTGTGAATTATTCGAAGACAAGATGTTACCGAGATATTCAATATTTGATTTCGATGATGTAGACGATAATAATAATAAGAACAACACCAATAACGATGACAACCACGATAATAACAATTATAATAGTGATGATGGATGTTGATGCTGTTGTCAGTTTTGGTCATACAAAATATATGTTCTACCAAATATCTGGGTAGGACCTCCAATTGTTGTGCGCTCAGTTGTACCCCGAATTCAACTTTCACTACAAAGCAGCCCAGTTCTTAATCCTGACAACAACATATGATTATGATTTATTACTGTTATTATATATAAAAAAAAGAAAATTAATTGTTTGTTGAACAATGCTGTAAGTAGAAATATGAGTCAATAGTTCGTTGTTTGTAAATAGTATTGATGTTGACGATGAGAAAATGATATTGGTAGAGGATTGCTTGTGTTGATGTGGATTGGCAGAGACTGGTTGACAACGTTTCGACAAGAGAAAAGAACACAAGAGTCCAGAAACGAATTTAGAATTTGAAATAGATAGAACTGAACACCAAAAGAAAAATTCTAAAACTAAACTATATATTTTGTATATTCTAAAAAAGGCACGAAGATAATGTGTCTTTTTAAATTCGAGTTTCTATGCAACTTATGACTAGTTTATTTTTAACTAAATTAAGAATGCATAGAAGACAAAAAATAGTAAGAAGTGGTTGAACGGCCGCTACAAGGGGTACCCTTAATTTAAGCTTTCTAGCCGCTTTCCGAGAAGAGAAGTATGCCAGACAGCGGTAAATATGCCAGAAATATCTCACTGCGCAGGAGAAGGATTTTAATGATGCTCTATACTGCCGGCTTCGAAGGGTAGATCCTGTCTGGATGGAACGGCTCATTTTACAGTGAACAATCTTCCGTTTTAGATAAGTTTGAAAATATAGACAATGGAAAACTTTCTGCATTGTATAGATTTCTTGTTGAATACATAAAAAACACACAACGTTCGAGCTGTACTACACAGCAAGAAGTTTGCAAAAGTTATGGACGCGTTTAAACGCGTCAATTGAAAAACTTACCATTACCGCGCGGTTTTTTACAAAAACAAGCCTTTAAGAAGACAACAAGGCCTTAGAAAACCTCATACTAAAAACCGGCCTTCCTTGTTCTTTTTATCCTAAAATCGTATCTGTAACACGAGCTGAACGGGTGGTGATTTTATGAAGCGTCTCTTAAATAACATGAGAATAGTAAACAGAGTACTTTCCTTTACTGTACGGAGAAAAACATGCCAAACCTGTTATTGAAGATTTAGCTCATTTAGCCCAACAGTGTGACATGTTTAGTCCTGTATACCTGCTGAGAACAACATTATTCTATCTAACTTTTATCTGAACAAAACTAAAATGTGAGCACTCAGTCGCACACTGGGACCATCATCAGACATCGAAACTTGTAACTAAAGTCTTCTTCCCTTTTCTCATAGATGAGCACTGTTTACCATATTTGCGTATTTTATTTCAAGGTCATTCTTTATCAGATATGCTTTCGAAAGATTAGCGTTTTCTATCTGGTGTCCATATAAGACGGACTTCTGAAACCACAACGATAACTCGCCTTAAAAAGATAAGTATTAAACTCTTTTATCAAAGTTTCTCAGAATCTGAAACGAGAAACTTGCGTTGACCACTTTTCGCCATTCGGTTCGAGTTTTTGCCGAATCGAATTGAATCGAATTTGATTTCAAAAATGCTATTCCAAATCAAATCAGGAAAACCTGATTTCTCTCGGGCTCTGATCCCTAAACGACGGTTCTTCAATCAAAAGATATCCATACATCGTATTTAAAGATACACTTTGCAAAGAGTTTCCTTCGCATCATGTATTTAGTTTGTTTTTTTCTCCAGAGATAATTTAATATTACAGAATAACTAACTTAGAAATGCCGCTGCTAAATTGGCATGGGAATGAATGGAGATAAACTGCTTCTATCAATTCTCCTCAATATCCCTTCTGCTCATTCATTCATCCACTAATGTCACAATGAGTAATAGAGAGAAATTCGGTACTCGTCTTCGTCTATATGCTCTTAAATTATTCAGCCCACCCACAGAAGAAAAGACAAAACAATCCTCGAATTATCAGAAATAGAGAACTCTGATTAACTGTGCGAATATTCATCTTTTCTGATGATGAATAAAGTTTATTCGAAAGCTTAAATAAGTTTATAAATGATAAGTAGTTCAGCTGCAATCAAACGTGATTCTCTGATTAGTCGTTTTTATCTTTCACTAGGACAGCTCAAAGTACTAACAGACAGACACTTTCGCTTCTGGCTCATATCAGCAAGTGGTCCGCATATTTAGCCATGTCATGCCAAACGCTTTGCGCATGGCTGTCAATCATCACGGAGGTGGTCGTGTCATTGATTGAAAAGAAAGCGTCTACCAGAGGTATATAGAAAATCGTTCAGGCGAATCGTCGAGTCCAAAATGCGCGTAAAATTAAGTTACTTATCAACCCTTTTCGTTAGAATCTAACACTATATTTTCCACAGTCAAAACATGTGAGTAACAGACTACTATCGAGACAAAGACAAAACGTGTTTGCCGTGACTATGACCGTTATGAGCGTGCTTTCTAATAACTCATGAAGATCGACTCTATTTGGACGAATTAATATTGATCGTTTTTGTACATGATAGATATACATTTGCCTTTCTTGCTCTGCTCTGTCAAAGACAAATATGGCCAGTTCACCTGCCATCGGCGAAGGATTGACTGAAGCTAATGTTGAACGATTGGCACAGGTGACAGGAATGACCCAACAGCAAGGTGAGCAAACTCGTCCATTCTCGTTCACTCAAACTGATTCTCACAGTTCAAATTTGTTTGTTTTAGTGGGAGAATGGTATAGAGGATTTATGGTAGGTCTGTCCTGTCTGAATGTGAGTTAGTGAACTTTTGTACTAGCAGATACCTTGAGATAAATCTGTCCAGAATGATAGTGGTCGCAGTGAGATAAATATTAGTTTGACAACAGGTTGTTTCTTGGTCTAACAGAGACTGATCGCCAGCAAATTCCATTTTGTATCGCTTTATTATAGAAAGATCTCCCGGGTGGTAAATTATACAAGAGAAAGTTTGTCGATGTTTATAAAGTGCGTAGGCTCGTTTTGATGTATACTTCTTGATGTAATTAAATTATACGTTTATTCGCAGCAATTCTATCCTCATGGAAAAGCAGACAAGTTTGCTGAATATGTGTTCAGGTACAATAACTTCAGTTAGCAGAAGACCTTCTCATCGCGAAGGAGAAAACGCTGAGTTCTGTGCGCACTGATGCTTCAACATTTATCTTTATTTCAGAATATTTGACAAGGATTTGTCTGGCGCTATTGGTAAGTGCTTTCGTCAACAATCTCTTCCTTGATTTAAACATATTACATGCAACTATTAGGTATGCATCGGTATCGGTATACCAAATACCAAAATATCGAATGTCCGTACGACCATTACCAAAAATACTGACCGTTTTTTACTAGGAGTTTTTTGGATTTTTTTCATTTGGAATGAGATATTTTTACGTCCTGGACAGGCAGAACGCATAAAAGCACTCAGCTAGGTATTCTAAACATATCCAGGTAGAAGGAAAAGAAAACTGTTCGCTTTAAAAAGGGAAACAAAGCTCTCTTTCTGGGTGTTTAGGATACTAGAGTACCCTGTTTCAAATGACGAAATCCCAAAATGTCCAGGTAATAAAACCTGGTATTTTTCGTATCGGTATATAAAGCTCAACTAACAATCTCCAGTTTACATCTCTGTACGAAAAGTGCCGCAACTGAACGTGATACAACAATCTTTCTTTTCTCAACCAGAATCAGTAGACACATTTGCTGATAGTGGAGAATTTCTCATCTAGATTTTGAAGGGTATCTCAAGATTTTACATTTTCAACATCAACCAGATCAGAAGATAAAACTGGAATGGACATTTTCCATGTATGGTACGTAGAAACCTATTACACTGCGAAAAAGGATCGCATGCGAGTAGAGCTAGACAACACATTTTACAAGCGTTCAAACGATAAACTGAAATTGTTCTCCGAATTTCGGGTGTGTATCAAATCTGAGGTTTAAGTGAGGTTCCAGGTTGATATCCAAGGTTCGAGTTTGATGGACCTTCCACTGAAACGTCGTATTTTCACTGAGAAAAAGAGAGAAGTTGAAAAGCGAGGTTTGATTGGTCGTTGGTACAAGGTCCACAACTCGAAAACGAAGACAAGAAGAATGGCTGACTCACTAAACTTAAAGTATGAAATTTTCATATTTTCGTGAGTTATGGCTCTTGGAAATTGATTTCTGCTGGAGAATTATTCGATGAGAGTCTCAAGTCTAATCGTTACAATTATCTTTACTGGTATGTTTTTGTCTTGTCTTCTTCGAAAAGATTTGGATCGCAATGGATACGTCGATAAAAAAGAAATGAAGAAAGTAATGGACGTAAGTATGTTTACAGACTTGCGTCTTTTTACTGTTTACTATGTACGAAGTTGATAATACTTAATAATTCCTATATTTCTTCCTTTTTACTTCGTGGTTTATTTATATAGCTTAACTAAACGTTTCGATTAATAAAAATCTTCATCAGTAGTTGACAATAAAAACAAATGTTATAGAACAAACAAAGATTAGAACAACTAAAATCTAAAATCAATAACAGCACGTTAAGGTTATACCATAGAAAAAGAATTATTCCTTATTAATTTTGAATTCATTTTGAATAGTCTATAACATTTGCTTTTATTGTCAACTACTGAGGAAGATTTTTATTAATCAAAACCTTTAGTAAGCAATATAAATAAACTACGAAGTAAAAAGGAAGAAATAAAAGAATTATGAAGTATACAGACTATTTTCGTGATCGCACGGGGAGAGTGGGGTCAAACTGTTTTTCTAAAAGTTGCAGACGTTTCCATAAGAAATGTCTGTGAATACATGGTCTTGCGTGATGGATTTCATAGTCATGTTTTGGTCCGCGACTGCTGTTTTGTGTTACTTTAACAATTTCTTGTTGATTCTCTAGGCCATTTATGACTTACGTGGTGAAGATAAAAATGGTCCGAACACCTCTAAGACGAAAATAGACGAGATATTTTCGAAAATGGATAAGAATTCCGATAATAAATTATCCAAAGAAGAGTTTATTAATGGCTGTATGGCTGACAATTATCTATATCAATTACTAGCACCACCTATAGGAGGAGACTTCCAGGACGAAATTGTCAGCTCCGATGATGACGGTGCACATCATTAAAAAATTGAAGTTAAAAACCTGTAGTTAGCACATAAATCTCTTATTGTTTTATTTAAGGAGAATAAAGAATTTAATAATTATATTTCGGTTTAAGAAAAAAAGCCTCTGGTTTCTTAGCAGGAGATACACTCACGTTCCACGCTCAACACGGCCCGGTTTGAAGCATAGATGTCAATTCAAAGACTGCAATACAGAACTATGCAGACTATGAGAACTATCCACGACATACCAATATCAAGAAAACTATTCAGAACTGCTCATAGTATGTAATGAGATTTCATGAGAACTTCTTCTGCCTCAGGTGATGTGTGCCTCAACGCAAAACTCAACTTAGGGAAAGTTTGAATTAGCACTTACGTCGAATGAGAACTATGAGAATCAGAACTATTCAGAACTATTTATAGTATGTATTGAGAACTATGAGAATCATTCGGAACTATTGAGAACTATTCATAGTATGTAATGAGAACTATGAGAACTATTCAGAACTATTTCCTAAAATATAATAGATAAATCCCCATATAACGGAGAAATGGGTTGCTGTGTATTTCTCCAATATCTGTGTCAATTTTTATTACCAAGACGCGAACTTCTTTTCAAACGATTCCCGTGCAATTCTCCACCAAACTGCATTAAACGTTTTTTATACATCGTATCTATAAAGGAGTATGGGTGAAATACCCCGAAGCTTCAGTTTCTATTACTTTGTATTCTAAAAAAACATTTTTAAATTTTAGACGTTTATAACCTGCAATATAAGATAAGAAAACATCACCAATTCGTAGCCCTTGAAAAGCTCTATCAGTTATCAATATTTAAAACTTTTAATCATTAGAACCGGTTCCGAGAAAATGCCTTTCCTTTTATCGGTTTCATCAAAAATCATCAGCCGTAAACCTCAGTTTTGAAGTACATCAGAAAAACTTCATAAATCGGTAAAAATCAAACATTTTGCAGAAATTGTTTGAGCATACGATACGATGTTTATAATTCGACAGTCGAATGCCTTACAACCTTGCACAATATTCTGCTTTGTGGATAACTTAATCCTGAATAAACGTATGCATTCCAAAAAAGTAATGAGTTAGTGTCCATTGTTTATTATAGAATACCGCAAATTTTATGGGTTTTCAAAAACTTTCTGAATACCCTCAAAACCCCGCTGATATCGGATTAAGCGACATGGATTCTGAAACTAGACATCCTAGCGGAACTGTTTTGAGCGAATAATTTGTAATAAGTGCAAGGCATCTCATTTTGAAGAAAGACTTTGCCCTATATGCCTGTGTAATTGAAAAACGTTGCCGACTGTCTAAAAGCAAAACAAGTTTTGTTTTGAAGATCAGAATGACTCCTCTTTTTTACAGTAAAGTCCGCTCTATATATAGATATGTTAAAGTTAAAACTTTCATCTTTTTTTGCTTCAGAACAAGAGAACGTACTCTTCCCATTGAATAATCATTACCAGAAACGTTCTTTTATTGTTTGTTTCCAAGTTCATCATGTGATTCTTGTGCAAGGTCTCGGGATAAAAACACGAACGTCAAAGCTATTATGACGAGGAAAATGATTCTGATTTATATAAAATAGTATGGGCGATTCCATTAATTGTATATTTTTGGAATGTAGTCATTTGATATCATGCATCCAGTGTGGTCAAGGATAATTAAATACTAATAAACAATGTCCCATCTTTAGATAAACAATAATAAAAATTAAAAAAAGTATTTAAGTTATAAACAATAATTTAATGTTATAGTAGAATGACGATGAAACTAGGCTGGTGATATCATACATAACTTACCATCGTTAGCTGTGCGCACAGCAGCAATTTGGTGCGGTTAAATTCATGAAACAATCGGATTTTTCTAATATTTTTCCTTCTGTACGAATAAAGAACAATAATCAGAATAATTTGCAGTCTTTTTTTCTTGAAGAAAAAAACGCTTGTTTTTGTTTTCAAAGCTAATATTCGTAATCAACATAGTTCGTTACATATATTTCATCGATCTTTGTAAATCTGAGAAAAAAGTCTCGAGACAACAAATTTACCAACTGTTTTGATAAATGGACATGATCATATCTCCGGATCCATATGACAGAGTAAGGTCTAGGTTTCTTTCTAGAACATCACTTTTTTTCCAACGATCATTAAAGCATAACACTTACTGCTGGCGACCAGGGAAAAGGAATGAGATAGGTTAAGAGACACAACCAAAGAAATAATAGCGTTAGTAATATGAGAACAGCGACGACAACTTTTAAGTGATGCAACTGTCAATAATATACTATTACCACTAAGTGCCAGATATGAAATATAATTTGTATACATGGGTTTACGTGATAGAATTGAATAAGTTACATCTCACACGAAAAAATAAGCACAATTCGTCCAAAAGCGGAAAAGTATGCCACGAGTGTCGGAACTCCGTTCGAACGCCTTAAGTTGTTCTAGATAGTCCGAGATCGATCGAACGCCGTTCAGTAGGTTTTTGACACGTCATTCTGTTACCCGATCGTTCGCTGCTGGACGCTAAAATTTCACAGGACAGGCTTAGGTCATGGAAATTTTCATAAGGCAACAATCGGCCGACCTGCACATCTCTAACTTAACGTGAAGGCGTTGGTGGAATTTGATGTTGCTTCAAAATTGGAGTTCTTCTCAATTCTTTTCTTTTTGCCTTCAATTTCTGTTCGTTTTAACTCGAGAGTGAATACGGACTTTTACTATGGAAAGTTAAGAACATATTTTTTAAAAGATTCCCGACACCCCTTGAAGAGTTTTCAGCAAAAAGCCAGCTTAGTAGGAGTAGAGGACAAAGTGGAAGACTAAATGGATGACTATTTGTATGGTACCTAAAAGCAAAGACGTTATTCAATCTCGAAATCACTTTGATTTCCAGCTGGTGACGAACAAAGGCATAAAAACTGCTCATTTGAAGAACGTAGTAGAATTTGATTTAGATAAGTTATCATTACAATTTTTGCACATCTTTTTTAATACACAACTTTTTGAGAGAGTACTAACCTGAGTATAGTTAGATCTTGTTTTCTCCATTGTGTCAATCTTGCGATCGTCAAATTTTAAGTCTTGTCCTAACACCATCTGCAGCAATTAATTCATCCTTCTGTCGTACAGTTTATCGCTATAAACCAGTCGACTGCGACTATTTTAGGTATAAGGTTGATTCGTATTTACCAAATTCTACTACTCTTACTACTACATCCATTAATGACATGGTAACTCAATCCGTTGTCTGGAGATGCACAAAAAATAATATTTTATCTGATTATTACAAGAGTCAATATTGATTAAGTGCACAAAAATATGAGGATGCATGTAAAGTAACAAAGGTGATAAAAGAAAAATTTTTCTTGTATGACACACTGACACAAAAAGATAGACATACTTTTTGCGTTAAAGTAAATTACGGTTGCTCTTTAATGTAATTATAGAAAATCACGAGAGTAGTCCTAGAGGTATATTTACAGTCCACGACCGCCGTGAAGTAAGTAAGCCTTTTCTGCTAAACATCAAAATCGAGGAAATCATGCAAACATGATCGCCTTCGGACTGTGGCTGTAACCATCAGACAAAGCTCTTCGCTAAACTCACAACCCTATTTTCATTTGTATTTTCCAGTAAGATGAAAATAAAGCAGATAATCCGGCTGGTCGCTAAACACATCGGTGGTAGAAATGAAAAGATTTGCTAACTGTTTTCCCTTAAATAAAATGCAAAAATTCTGACAGAACAGTTTAGCACGCCGATTAGGTGCCACTATGTGAAAATATCGTTTTACTAAAAAGATGGGAAAGGTGCCTTCATTAGACACCATGGGCGCATTTGAAGCCATCAAGGTAGTTTATTAAAACATTTTTTTTGACAGTGTAGCACCTACGTTACTGTCTTTCATTTCAGTTGAACCAAATGGAGTCAGGAATACATATTAAGTCTAATGGTTTTAAGAGAGTTATGAATGTGTTATAAAGGATCAACAAACTATGCTTTATTCGATGAAATTATAAGACCCAATTTTCGCATCCAAATGCAGTGTTTCGTAGCTTTATTGAGATTCTTGTAGACGAGAGAGCTAAAATTAATTATTAATACTTTCGTAAAGGACTGGCACTACGAAATTTCAAGAGGAACCTTATTAACTTTATCGGCGTGTTCATGCGCAAGATAGGAAAAATAACGTTAAGTAGCAGAACGTGACCCAAGAATTTTAAGCTTTCATCTCAACTAGATAAGAATCAAAATGAATTATAAATATAATTTTATTATTTTCAGTGTAAGTCTAGAGTCATAAAAGCGAAAATGTCTGTGTGCGCGCCGCACTATGGCAGATGTACTAGAAAAGTAAGGAGAAAAACGTCTTATCCTCCTGTAGAGAAAAAAACAGCTTCTGAAAAATGCTCAGTAGAGGTTTTCGGCTATAAAGAATTCAACAGTTAC